ATTAGGCCACCTGAGCCAGCCAAAGGGGCTAAGCTGACATCCAGTGCAGCTGCGATCTCAAGTCATTGAACAACAGGAGCCTTTGTGCTGCCTGATGAAGAAAAAAACATCTAATGTGTTTAAGGGGAAGTAAAGAGAAAATGCAGGTACTTTCAGAATGTGTTGTCGGATTTTTGTTAGTCCTGTACCCAAGCTGTACAAATAGTCCTGTATTCACTCCTGATAAATACATCCTTTTTTGATTGTACAGCTGAGGCTGTCTGATGAGGGTGGCAAGATGAAACATGGTGACACTAATTAACTGTAGACACTGTCACTGTGCAGGCAGCAGAGCAGGGTGCTCAGATGGGAGAACCCACAGCCCGGCCACAGTCCAGTGGTTTTGCGCTTTAGCGCAAAAAACATTTTATAGCATTTTTTGAAACTTTCTTAAAATTTAAATAAATAAGTGGAGCACAGGCAGGTAAGACAACTCTCTTTTGAGCTTTCTCTCTTGTTTGGCCTAAGTAAATAAGGGTGATTATTTTAGTTTAATTTTTAGAGTTGCCTTTCTTTGGTTTTAGCACAAAATAGAACTTACTACCCAATGGCCCTTAAGCATAAAGATTCCTAGTATGTATAATGTGCTGATTTACTTTTAATCTTTGTTCATAAAAGTATTGTGAAGATTTATACTTTAACCTTTAACCTTCTTCATCCTTGATTATTTATCTTCCTGTATATTCAGGTTAGCTGGAGGTTTGAGAAAACACCTGTGGTGGTGGGGTCAGGAGGAGTTTAGAGGGGAATACCCAACATATAGAAAAGGAATGGTATATCTGAGCCTTGTTGCAGGAAGGATATCAGTGATGATAAGGAAAAGAGAAGAAAGGGAGGCATCTCTGATTTTTTCTTGAGAAGCAGAACTTGACTTGGTAAATTATAATTTATTGTAATATCCTAAACATATTGTTTCAGAAACTGTGTTATACATTCATCTCTTTCGTGATGGTTTTGGGTTTTTTTCTTCAACATGAAAATCTTTATCAGAAAGCCCCTGTAGGGCCTCAGTTGTGAATGGTCTTTGGTGTTTTTCTGTGCTGAGTTTCCTTTTCTGGAACTCTGTCTTCCCAAGTTTTCCACTACAAGCAGAAAAGTCCTTCCCTTCAAACTACCTGTTTTGCTTGGATCAGATAAACCTAGAAACTGTTGCCACAGTTGCAATATCCAGGTCGGCAATCGCTCAGGGAAATGAGTCCTCCAGGGTGTTCGTCTCTGGGCTTAACAAGTCACTATTGCCAACAGCAGTAGCGGATTCAAAACGGTACACTCCTTGGGGAGTAGGTTGCAATCCATGATAAACACTGCAGATGAGCAAAGGGTAAATGATTAGTGCTGTCTAACTGGGATGCTTCAGCCCTCTCTTTCCCAAAGCAAAAGGAGCAACTAGAGGAATACAGTAAGAGGTAACTTCTGTATCTGTGCTAATGCTTTATTTTCTTTATTTCTGTGGATTTTCTTTACAAGACTTAATGTCACATTTTATTGCGGGTGGTGTTAGAATACATAGCGATTTCATCTGTGTAATCATAACCTGTAAATGGCCAGACGGGTTTCCATTCTAGGAGTGATTCTCTTAATGACAGTGTATACTGTTTGTCTAATATACGGGTATTGTTGTATTTGTAGTTCATCCATTTCAGTCTTCTATCCTAATCTCTTCCCTTTATGGACTATAGTCAACACAGTGTCTAGGCATGCCATCAGAATAGCACGATAATGTTAAAGTATTAAAATTTTAACAATATTTTAGGAATTTTCTACTGATAGGAATAGTTAAGCCTTTATTTTTTCTTTATCTTCCATCTTTCTTTTTCTTTTGTTTTTTTCTTTCTCTGACAATTCTGAACAAAAATTATCATAGCTAGGAATTTGCAGAAAAGCAATTTTATACCAGACCTTCAGGTCAGACTTAAATTTCAGCCACCTTCAGGAGGGCACATGCCAGAGGTGAGAATATAATGCCCCAAGTGTTGTTTTCATCCCAGATCTTGATAGTATGGCTTATTGTATGATAAAATTCATGTAACTGAGGAGACCCATTGCCTTTTAGTGATGAGTAGGCATAAATTAGCCTGGATCTTGTCAGAAGGGACTTGGGAAAAGAGTATAATCTTGCCCTGTCCCTATCATTCTCCAGAAGCATCCAGAGTTGGCCACAGGATACTGAGCTTGACGTGTCTCCAGTCCAGTCCACTCCTGCTTTATGCTTTTATGAATCTGGTAGAAACAAGGGGTGGTAGAGAGCACAGAACATGTTTGTGATGTGCTGCTTGCTCTAAAGTGGGTGCTCTCGGGGTGCCATCGAGCATTACTATACATTACCTTCCACTGATCGCATTAGAAATTGCACTGCCAAAGTGGCATATTCTGGACTGCTAACTTTTGTCTTGATAGGAAGAGGCAAATGCACTCTCTTGTGCTGCCTGATGAAGAAAAGACGACTTGTGTTACTCTTACTTAATTTTTACTATAATTGCTGAGGAACTAAGCTTCACACTAACACCAGCAATTGAGAAGCAGATTCCTTCAATGGACAGCAAGACAAGGTTCTTCTAAAAAAGTGAGCTTTTTTCTTCCTCAGATACTTCTTGGAGTTTTTTTTAGAAGAATAGTCACAAAAAAAAGTCTTTATTGCTGAACAAGAAGCACCCTGAAATGAGGCTTAAGGACAAATTTCTTCCCACCCACTTAGGAGGTTTCGTCAAAGGGTCCTGAAGTCTCCAGCTGCAAGGTCAGGTGAGCTTTCTAAGCAGGCTGTTGCCAGTGCCGTCGCCTTCAGGCTTCCCGCAGAACCACCAAGGACAATATAGATATAGCTGAGAGGCACAGGTACTGTGCAGCCTTTTATGACTTTTGTTATAGGACACGGTGGACCAAATTCTGACCTGGTGGAAAGAAATGTGACTCTCCCGAAGATAATGAAGTTTCACCATGTTTTATTGTCCCTGATGAATCACAATTCCAGCATACTAAATCTGTAAGAATTTATTACCTCCTTATAGGCTCTTTAAGATCTTCTATTTCATCCGAAGCTGGGTATTTTTCTGGCTGTTTCATTTCTGTGTCTTTATCAGTGAGCTCTTAACACACTATTTAACACTTAATGTGGTCTGATCCCCGGCTCAAATATGTTTTAGTGAATGTATTTTGATTTTATGCCTGCTAATTTTGCTCAGTAACAACAGTTAGCATTATCCCCATAACTCAGGGTCACTGACTTAGACAAGCAGTTTTGCGCTCTTTATACTGTCCTGATGGATCTCTAGGGACCCTCACGGCAGCCTTCATATTTCAGCAACAGCTTAGTTTCTCATTTACCCTCAGACCAGTCTGTTAACTTTCAGATGGCTTCACAGCTCCCAGTCAAGACTCATCTGCTGTATTGCTCAGGTGCGCTGTGGCCAGAGTGAGCCAGTCTAAGGAACAGAATAAATGGTGCTTGGATCTGTTAGATCTCCCTGTCTCTCCTCCCAAGACATTTCTCTGTTTCAAGTGACAAAGCTGGAGCGGTTTGGTAGCCATTCAAGATGATTGTCTAATTCATGAAGAAGCAAAGACTGCATTTTGAAAATGCCAGGATAGAAACAGTAATTTAAAGTGAAGAACCTTATAATACTTCTAGCTGAATTAAAGCTCAACTCTGTGGTAAGAGCAGATCTCAATTGGTGCATCAAGACTTGGCAGTCCCATTAGTGTAAAAAAGTGTGAAGAAGTGGAAAAAATGAAAAACACTCAGTACTGATGGAAAAATCAAATTGACAGTCAAAAAAGAAAGCAAATATTTTATGGTTTTATGCCATAACTTACAAATAATTACTTATAAATAAAGAACAACAGTCAAAATGTGTGATGCTGTTCTTCTTTGAGAAAAAAGTTGCTTTTCTTTCTAGATCATAACCATATTCCCAATGCGGTATCTGACCCATGGATATTTGATTCTCTTTATGCAGCTCTGGTTAGGAAGGAAGAATACTTGCTTGGGTCCTCACAGCAGCAAGCTGGTCTATGGCTTTAAGTAGAAAGTTTAAAATAAAAAGCCCTTTTCAGCTCAAGTCGACTGACTCAGTCAGAACTTACTAACCTGCTAATCAGAAGTTGCCAGAAACATTGGAAGCTGTCTGGGACTGTCTGACATACTCCTCTTCCCTCTCTTCTCCACTACATATTGTCTGCAAAGGGGATATGGAAGTGAACTAAGAGACCCCAAAGTACCACATGGAAGTATTGGCAACCAGGTGTCACATGAAGACCCCGTATCTGAGTCTTCTTGAGAGAAGATTTGAACCTAAATTATTTCCTGGGTAAAATTCCACTGACTTCACCGGAAGGACTTGAACTTGAAGAAACATTTAAATTTCACTATGCTTCTGACACAGAGAAAGAAAATGCTTCAGTGATGTGGTTGGTCTCTGCTGAGAATTAACAGCCTTCTCTGACTCACATGAGGAAGTTTTAGGAAACTGAAGCATGTGGAATGTATCCAGAATGTTTCTTTTTTGATCTCAGAAACCGCTAATCAAAATTAAAATTGTGTAATTTCACTATGTCTGACTCATTCTTCACCTGCAGGGAGAAATGCTAAGATAATATGCAAAGCAAATCTTCATTGTGTAAATCCAACATCTCATTCTTTAAAGGTGAATTGATGTTTAATGCTTGACTTTCATTTCTAATGTAGTAATTGTGTTATCTTGAACACTGTGACTTGTCCAAGGAATATAGCCAAAAACCTCTGGAACCTATTTTGAATGTAGTTGAGGAAAGGTGGTACTTTGCTAACGAGCAGCATTTAAAATGCCTACATTTTCCTTTGGACCTGTTCTTTATTACGATGCAATTAGATTGCACAGATTATCATTCTGGGAAGAAAACAATTAGCGAAGAGTCCCAGAGATCAGTCATCTTGAGAACTGAATGTGTTGAGCAAGGAGTTCATTTGAACTCGTTTTGTTTTTCAGACACTGCAAATGGATGTAAACAAGCTGAATATCACATTGCTTCGGATATTTCGCCAAGGAGTCGCAGCAGCACTGGGACTGTTACCTCAGCAAGTTCATATCAACAGACTCATTGTAAGTACCAAAGGGCTGTGTATAATAAAATGTACCCGGTTATTTTGAATTTTCTTAAATTTATTTTCCTGTCATTATGGAAAAGTGCAATAAAATAGGACAGAAAAATACTTTTTTCCCAGTATTTTTTTAACTGCAATACAGAAAAGTAGATCTCCATTACCAAATTATTTAAATTTTCTTTTGAAAGGAAACCATTCTCTGTTACAGTCTAGAAAAAAATTAAGTCAGATAAATATCTTTTGTGTCCTGTTCATAAGCAGATTGCTTATCCCTTAGTTTTCATTCCAATGCAGTTCTATGCCACATTCATTAAGAGACACTTATTCGTGTTTTGTTTCTCAAAGGTTGAATATTGCTCAAAAAAATAGATGTGATTCTGCCTTTCGAAGGCATCTTCACAATTTATCCTCACTTTCCATTAGTAAATTAAATGTCTTCTCACTATATTAATATTCATGTTTTGCTATTCAGCTATAACAACCTATGCTCAGGAATTATTTTGTAGACTATGGTATCATATTTGCAAAAGATGACGACAAATTTGCTTCTAGCAACGAGGACTTTTTGAAAGCAATTGTTACCGTATGCTTTTCTGTGTATGTTAAGAGCACACATTCTTAACGTCGTACTCTTTTTATGACAGTTTTGCCATGAAACAAAAAACCCCACAACATCCCATGTGCATTGCTAGCATTCAATTCACACTGCAGAGGGAAGAAGAGTTATTTTATTTTATTCTACACACAGGTTGAATATTAGGGAAAAAAACTGACAGGTTCAGCATAAAAGTATTTCCTGCCTTGATAGCTTGATAGGATTGTATACATCAAAAAGGATTATAAAACTCCTTCAAATAATGTCTCTGTGAGAAAGGATTACACAAGAAGTACGGCGGAAAAGATCAATAGGAATGCAATGCAGCCCTTTTCATGCTCGCCAGGGATGTCACTCATTCCTGACAAGTGATGCTCAATCTCCTTTGTCCCCTGCATTAACCAGAAGGAAAGGTTCAAAGACATATTCAGAGAAAAGCACAATTAAACGAGAAATGTTCCAGAGTTTGGGATGTGTATTTCAATATACTAAGTCACTTAGCAGCTTTCTCACTATGCTCTCTAGACATTATGCAACAAAGCAGAAGGAATATGCTGTTTATTTTCCTACCGGCTCAATAGTTTTTCCCTTTTTCCTCTCATTTGTGATCCAAGGGAAGAGGTAATGTCATTTTGCACCTGCATATAGCTCAGAATACAGTGAGTACTATTAATTAATTAGTCTTCTCAACATCTGTAAAAGTCTGCTACGAGTTTATCTTTTAATGATATAAGAAAGAACAGAAAATTTTACTCCATTTGCTCTAAAAATCCCACACAGAAAGTAAAAATTCACAAGGAAGAAAAATACATCTTAGGAGACATTATTGCCACTTCCCATCCTTCTAACAAGACACAGTTCCTCTCATGCAGAGTGCTGGCAAGCAAGCAGGGCACATCAAAATTCATCTCGTCTCACTTCAGGCTACTCATCTAGGTTCCCTGTACAAGCAAGATAGAGAAGGGTAACTGGAGGAGGAGAGGCATTGAGATCCTGGTTATTTTAGGATGGATTAAATCATTTTCTGTAGATGCCAGTCTCTCTCCACTGACTTTGGAGGTAGTTTAGATGACAGAAGTGAGGTAAGCTGACTCCCTCCCAAGAGAGCAGCTCTCAGAAGGAGAGAGGAGCCTAGCATCAGAAGCCTGGCAGCCAGGACATGGCTGGCTGCAGGGAGAGCAGAGGGCTGGCTAGCCTTTTACATATAACAACACATAGTGTGCCTGGAAATATTAGCTGGGCATTTCCAGTGCCTCCTTAATCTTTCCAGTAAAGCCTTTTAATGGGCAGAGGAACTCCTAAACAGAGGAGGCACAAAACACTGGGAATACTGCATCCTCGCCAAGCCTTGCCTTGTGCCTGCAACCTACACCCAGAACCACCCACCTACCCATGTCAGAGACTGAGTAGCTTCAGATCAGTTTTTCAGCCTGACAAAAGTCTCTGCCTTGAACTGACACTCCAGACCTGTAGGTCTGGTTTTACTCCTTATCACCCTACTGATCTGAATAGTCCCACTGAAAGATGCCCAGACCCACCAGTAGCCAATATCCTTACCAGTCTTATGGAGCAGAGGGACCACATGTGAGAGCACAGAGGTCAGATTTAGGGTAAACACATTTTAAAGACTCCCTTTCTCTGCAGCTCTACTTCTGAAAACTAGATATTTGAAGAATAGCAAAAGATACCTTTTTCTTCACTTCACTAAAGGTAATGGTGCACATTCAAAGTGAGGAGGAGGAGGCAGGGGGAAATCAGGATTATCCCAGTTTGAACTGATCTCTTCTATCCCATAATGATGAACAGCAAATAACCAGACCAGTGAGGTTCTTGCCTGCACAGGCAGTGATGCAAGTAGTGGCTCCATGCTTACCTTGCGTGTGTGGCACCCCCAGGTCTGGAGTCAACATCACAGCCTCAGCTAAGCTGGCCTTAGCCCTGGTGAGGCTGGGTTCCCACAGCCTCTGGGGACATCAGCTCTGCCTGGAGCACAGGTCTCAGGTGCTGTTCCAGTTTATCACAAGCAGACGAACTCTCTGGCAGTCTTTCATTTTGCTCACTTGTGGCAGAGCAAGCACCATTGACATCTGTAATACAGTACCCCTTGGGCTACCAGGACTGCGTCAAAGACAACCAGGGCAGGAATTAGTAGAGGGGAGAGCAGGCATTCTCAGCTTACCCACTGAATGTAAACAGAACTTTTCTGGTCCTTTCATTTTGTTGTGCCATTTTTAAGGAGTTGCACTGCAATTGACTAAAAGGACTTTGTACTTCATTGCGTTATGTGTCTGCAATGTGTTGACATGGGATTAGAAAGCAGTGCCAAAATATCACAGCATTATACTAAGCATTCCTGTTTAAGGACCACCTTCTAAAACAGGGCTGCATTTCAGCTCAAATCAGATGAACTATCTGCTAAAATCCCTGCTGGCACTTTGACCTTGACCTCATCCCATGGCTCCTCCTCTCACCATGTTGCATTGACCTGTCTTGTTTAATGGTACTGGACTCAGGAAGAAGGTACCTTGTCAACAGTGAATGAGACAAAGCACATGTGCCCACGTATGGTATTTGCATTTTTGGGGGATTTAAGGAGTCAGGGAATAGGTATACTCTCCTCACAGAGCAGGTTGCAGCCTTTATATTCCATGCTTTTGTTTTTGGAATTACAGTTTCAGTCTTTAGACAGCAGAGATTATCTCATCTCAGATCCTTCCTATGATTCTGCTTTTTTTTTTTTTTTTTTTTTTTTCCTAGGGGAAGAAGAACTGTGTGGAACTGTTTGTGTCCCCACTGAACAGAAAGCCAGGAATTTCTGAGGCGCTCCCATCTGAAGAAGTGCTGCGCTCCCTCAATATCAACATTTTGCACCAGAGTTTATCCCAGTTTGGAATAACAGAGGTCTCCCCTGAGGTTTGTTATCGATTTTCTAACCTGTAGTTTGTTACAGATTAGGCAGTTACTACATCCCTGGTAGTTTTCAGGCTGAGGTTCTCAAGCACGAGGCAGGAAATGTATAAGCTAAGATGGCATTACTGCTGTAAGGCAGTTATACAGCTAGCCCTGTTAAATTACTTAAATAGTGCTTCATTAGGCTATTTAATCATTAATATCCAGGTCCTCCTCACACAGCTGGGATACCATTGAAATCAGAGTTTAGATCCTCAGCATGCATCAATTGCCTTAAAGGAAGAGGGCTCAAGGACTTTTGGTCTATTCCTGCAGGTCAGCAGGTATAACAATTTCCATAGAGAGATAAATGAAATGCAGATGTCAGATGTGAGCATTACTACCTGTGTAACTTGTGTGTGACAATATTTTGAAAAGCTGAATTTCTATACTTTACCCATGCTTCTTTCTATTCTCAGAAGTGAGAGATTTATTTTGTTTATCTGCTCCAAAAAGAGGGCAAAAGTAAAACTTGTAGCTATTATTTGTGTGACTACATCCAGTTTTTGGGAAAAAAAAAATCTATTTAAAAGCAGAAACTGCACTACCATCTCCACAGTGTCCCAGACATTACCAGTGAGATGGACATCTAATTCTCAGCTGACCGTTTGAGCTATGCACAGCTAACTAATAAAAGCAAAGGCATTTAGGAAAGGAAATCATTGAACTCATGGACATGGTCACTGCATTTTATTTAGTGTCTTAGAAGCCCTTACTTACATATAAAGACCCTCTGAGTTCAGTGTGAGGTCCGAATAACTTCAAGAATGTTATCAAGAATCGGCATTTTCCATGAAGGCTCCCATTTTGACAGAAGAGATATCTATGTCCAAAAAAAAGTGGGAAAAAAGAGGAGAGGTTCTGATGAGCTGTGTTTCCATCTATGGGTGAAGAGTTCCTGGGTTTTTTACATCAAAACCTATGTTTGAGCCATTGCTGAGTTGGTACTGGCTGTTATGTTCACCCATATTTCTACTGATTAGAAATGCTTTCACTCACTTTAAGTATTCTAACTCTCTTTAAGAATCTGTAAGATGAAATATAAAACCAAGGCCATTTTAATGCAATTTTACATGCTCTACTACAGCAGCCTGCCACTATGAAAATGAGCAGATTCTTAGGCTTTAGCTGTTCTAATACAAAACAAAGCCAAACAGTGCAGTCTAAATGTCAAATCAGGTCTTTATATCGCTCATCAGCGACCTGAGCTAAGCTTCCTTTAGGTCAGAATTTCCTTTATTACTGAAGTATATGAGACTGACGGTTGTTAAAGATGCAATTATCTGTTCCAAGTACTTCAGTTACAAATAACACTTCAGGTAGACATGGGACAAGAAGATATATGAATAATAGATGAATGGAGAAATGGCATCAAGCTAGGAAGAGATGCTGGAAAAAAATACAGTGCTGAATTCAAGATCTCATCTATGTTAGATACATTTCAATAATCTGGAATGCTCAGATATTTGAATTTTCTCTCTGGAAAAAAGCACATAGACAACCAGATGGAATAATTTAGAAGAGGATTATTAGAATGAAAGTTGTGCAGACTCTAACTCCTTCTAATACTGTTGGAGAAACAAGAGATTATTTTAGTATTTCAGTTGCTAGCAGATTATACGGCTAAGGCCCTGATCCTGAAAAAATCATGCAGCTTTACACTAATAAGTATTCATTTTGGATCTCAATAAATTATTTACATGGGTAAGACTTCACAGAAAACAGTAGCTAAAAGACAACAGCAACATGTAATCTTTACTTGCTCAACTACTAACCAGTTATTTACTCTTTTCTCAACTTGCTCTAAGAACAAATCCTGCCAAAAAATAACAGCAAAGAAAATTCAAACAGGCAAACCTTTGGAGGAAGATATAGTTATATAAAGCTTTACGTGTCTTTGACACATTATTTTACCCATTTTGTGTGTTTATTCCTGAATCCTAATTAACTCATGAGCTAATAAATTGTACTCTTCCACCCAAAAGTGTGAATGCTTCCCAACCAGTATCATATGCACACTCACAGTGTATCTGTGCAGAAAGGAAGCATTATGCTCATCTTTCTAGGTGGGTGGCTGACACAGAGGTGTTAGGACTGGAATTCGTCGTCTTTTTTAGCTGCCTATTTCAGTATTAGCTGCCTAAGGCTTGAAAGGCTGCCAGCTCTCTCTACAGTGAACAGAGAGAGAGAGAATTACCTCCAGCGGGCAGCTCATCCCATGCCTGAGATACCTCTCCTGAGATTGCTTGGTTGACTCTTTCTAACAGGGCTTAGCTTAAACTAGACCCCCCCAGCTGTAGAGGGTCAATGATGGGGGAGGTTACCCAGTCCTAAGAACTTTACCAAGATTATGTAGG